GCTAACCATATATTGTTAGACTCAGTGGAAGAAATTCACCCCCATATGGAAAGATGATGTTGCATCTAGGCAACACTTGAAGCCCCGTATTAAGCCCAGAAAGGGTCTCAGTACTGCACAGGTCTCATGAAGTCCTTTGGAACGTCTCCCGTTATGGTTTATGCTTGGAGATGTTTGATATCATCCATTATGGTTCATGCTTGGAGATGTTTGAGGTCTCCCATTATGGTTTATGCTTGGAGATGTTTGTCTTCACCTCCATTTCTTGGCAGCCAGTGGTCCTGAGCTCCACTGCTCCCAGCATTCAAGTGAACCTCCCTCTCTCCTCTCAGCCACCTCCTGTGCAATGACCTGTGATCCAGAAGTAGCGTCTACTCAAGACAGCTGCAGATCATAAAGCCCTTTGCCTGAATGAGAGATAAGTGTTTTGGTTTCTTTTATCAGGGCCTGAATAGAGATGAAAAATCTCTTTGCACTCACTGTACTATTTGTTTGTGGTAACTGTAGTAAATTCCCCAGGCCAGTTCTTGACTCCCTTCTAGTGGTATAGAAAAAGGGGTAAATCCACTGATACCAAAGGGGTTATATATCAACATTAAATTAGCAAGATCAGTATCAGGGCCACTAAATCTTGAATCTTTTCCAATCATGGTAGTCTAGATGCTGTCTGAAAAATGTAATAACTTCCAACAAACCCTGTAATTCAACACACTTGGGTCATATGCTCCTTCAAGTTGCTTTAGCACAGTGATTCCCAACTGTGTTAGAATTGACTTAAGGTACCCCTCGTTAGACTCAAGGCCCTGCTCAAGAAATGCCAGCTCTTAGCTTTACAAAAAACTAGAACTCTTGGTTCCAAAATGATACCTTTTATTAGACCAGCTGGAAAATGTCAAGAAAATTGTCCTTTTCTGCAAGCTCTTAGCTTTTACACTTAGTAACTCATCTGAAAAAAGTAAGAAAAAAATCAGTTTGGGAGTTGTGCTTTCTTTGGGGTGCTCAGTTAATTTTTATGAAGCCCTCACAGTGTGTGGTGAAGAATCATGATCCATAGTGCCAAATACATATTTTTTGTGAGCTTTGGAAAACAGTCAATAGGGATTTTTTTGCTTGTTTTAACCCTTCCTGCATGTGTCCCATTGCTGCAGTTTTGCTTTCTCCCAGATGCTGCCAGGAACATGACCGCTGCTACCGATGGCTTTGGCATCATAGCTGCAGCATCAAAACAAAGCGGTATAATTACTCCTACCGTCTGGAGAAATAACCTGTGGTGAGCTGGTTCCTGGTTAGAGACACTCATTTTGCTTTTGTTCCCGTTTCTCTATCAGCAGACCGCTTTGCTTCATCCTGATCCTAGAAAGCCAGAGCTTTTGTTCTGATGCATGAGGAATTTGCAAACAGAAACGGAGTCACTGGCTGGTTTAACCATGAGGATTTAGGTCCTGATTCAAATGTGTCCTTAAGCACATGCTTGACTTTAAACACTTTTTTCAAATGTGCTTAAAGGCTGCTCTGAATTGTGATGCATTCAGAAGTCAGGCTTCATGCTGGACTATAATGGCATTTAAGCGCCTAATGCTCCTAAAAGTTGGGAAAAGGTAGTTAACCCTGTCAGGCTGAGTTAATAAGTGGAATAGCAGAGCAGACTTTTACAGATGGGAAATGAACTGAAACTTCCTTGCAAACAGTTTTTCTTGTCAATGAATCAGCATTTGCCAGCCAAAAATGCTTCACTGAAAAATTCCCAAACGATAGCTGTAATTTAAATTTGCATAAACTTCCAATAGGCGTCACACCACGATAAATTCCCGCACGCTCATTTAGACGTACGGTCACTAAATATGTAATTCATGACCACATTTAACCCCAATAAATGTACTGCAATTGCTGAGCTAGGACCCTGCAGAATAGATACTTTACACTCTACTGCTAAACTACAGGTGTGTAACTCAGAGCTTGAAGTTAAATACATAGGTAAAACAAGTGACAAATTATTCTGGACAGATGGTAGTTGGGCTGAAAGGTAAATACACTGAATTTTAACAGGCATCCTAAATTAAAAAGAGTGATGGATAGGAATTTTCCCAACACCTAGAATGAAGTGGCTAAAGAACAGAAAAAGAGAGACTTGTTAATTATTATTTTTCATGATTGGTGTAATAGGAACTAGAACCAGGACTCCAGGGGACTTAGACATGGAAGGTGATTACAGAGCTCAGACAGAACAGGGCAGATGGTGTGTGGGCCGATGGAAAGCTTGAACAAAACTGTTCTACTGACATGCTGTAAATAGTTACAAAAGTGTTTTCTCATCAGTTTCCTTGTGCAAAAGTGGACATGGTCCTCCAGGAGGAAGCTAGCCGCTGCACTAGGGGTCACGCACTGCAGTGTGACATCATATTAGAGTACATATTGGCACTCTGCAAAGCAGAAATGCTTCATCAAACAGTTCCTCATCAGCTGCCAGATGTAATATCTATCATATTTTTCAAAGCGTATTAGACTATTTCACATTCCCATCTTAGATCAGATTAATTAACAGACTGTAAACCATGACAGTCCCTGTCTACTGTGAGTAGTAAGTTGTATTCAATGTCATATTTTTTACCGTAATACCATGGAGTGGGGTTTTAATACTGTGTAGTTCCCTAGTGGCCACCAGTCCCTTCTTAATATATCTTCTATTAAATAATTGCCAACACTGCTAACCTCGCTCCCTCACTCAAAGACACTCTGTTAACATATATAATCTGCCTTCTGGATTCCTTTTGTTTGCAGGGGCAGGCTCCTGATGCAGCAAGCGGCTCTGTGAATATGACAAGCACTTTGTGCTGTGCTTAAAAAATAATTTAGAGAGCTACAATAAGAGTTACCACTACTATTTAAACAAACAGCAAGCATGAAAATGATGTGATCTCATGTTAAAAAGAGAGCCACTGCCTGAGCCCCAAATTTGTTCAGATTTCCTAATAGACAAAAGTCAATGTACTTGATATTTGCACAAGATAAAAGCACTGAGTTTTATTGCTTTTATTATAACATCTGGTTACCAATGGTATCTCAGTGGATGTGTATATAAATATACAAATGTAATTTTTATATGCTGTGCATCAGGGCATTTTCATGCTATGTTTGCGTGAGTTGTGTTTTAATGATGAAGCTATTTACGTGTGGTTACTGAATTTGTTATTCTTTATTTAGTCTTTAAATAACGGTTTAAAAACATTAAAAACCAATCAGATACCTGAACTAGGCCTGACAAATTGAATTCTGTTCTTGATTTGGGTTTGCTGTTAACAAAACAGACATCTCAGTGGTTGCTTATAAACTACCAACATGATCTACTGTAAGCTGTGTCGTGATGCAGTGATTGAATGGCCTTAATTCTGCTCTGATTCAACCCTATTATAAATGAGGAGCAACTGTCTGGAAATCAGGAGGAATACGCTGGGACAAAATGGGCCCCAAGCGGGATAAATCTGGATTAAATGAGCTGATCATTACACCTATCTACAGCTTCTGAATAAGGCCCCAAACCCTGTCACTCAGACTGCTAGCATGGTGCCCCAAGCACGTGTAGATACTGTTGGGCCTGCAAATTAGCCCAGAAGTCCACACTCCCAGCTCCCATCACAGGACTGGAGTGGGGGAGGAAGCAGGGAAGTTTTAATGTTCCTTTCAGAGCCACCTGCTTAGGGACCAGATCTTCAGCAGTGCAAACTGCAGCAGAGCCAGTGTCTTCGATGGACCTCCACTGACTCCTGAATTGACACAGCTCCATCCAGGACAGTGGAAATACGCCAGCTCACAACAACTGATGACGTGATCTGTAGACTTAGATTAGAATCCTGTTGCTTTCTGACTGGGCAAAATAATCAGGGCGAAATTGGGGGAAATTAGAGAAGAGTCATGCCTTAGGGATCTTGGCATAAAGTTGATAAAAAGAAGAGCAGAATCGGAGCATTTGGTTATGCCTGTCTGAAGCCTCAGCACCCCCCACATCCCAGTAGCAGATTTTCAGTTGTTTCCTAGCAGCACGCTTGATGTGCAGAACATATGCAAGTATATCCACTTGCCAGCCGAACATACTGTGTATGTATTCTTGCTCTTAGCCTTCCATCACCTTCCTAATAAAATAGCTGCTCTGCAGCTTCTCTGCCTAGGAAGCAATATTTTAAGCACTGAGCCTGTGCCCTCCCTCGGTCTCATGTATTCATCCCCCAATGTCAGACTGATGTCACTGTTGGGTTGAGATAGAAGTATTTGTGAGTTGGAGTCTTTCACCTGTAGGTGTTCACCCATGAGGACCTGCCAGGGGTTTGTGGCTTGTGTGCAATGAACAAATCACTCTCAGGGGGTCTGGTTGAGGTTCAGTAGCACTAAGACTCCCATGTGCACTAAACACAAGTTACATGTAACGCTACAACACACGGTGTTAAAGACAAGTTCCTGTTTGAAACGAGAACAGTTTTGTGGCGGTACAGACATTGGTGGAAGATCCATCATGTGTCGATACAGACGTTGTGCACATCTGTACTCTTTTTGTAATGCGACAAGTGCACATGTAGTGCTACAAATGCAACATGTCCATAGCCCCACACACCAATAGCACGGCCAGCAAACAAACCAAAAATAGCTTCCAACTCAATGGCTGCAAAAACACCCATTGCAGCAACCTCCAGTCGCATGTCTGAATGGTCAAACTGGCTCAAAAATTCCATGTATGCACTACTAGCTTCCAGCTCTGCACAGCAATCACTGGGAAGAGGCAGCCTCTCCATTAGCACATAGCCTGATCAGGCCCGTTCCCACAAGCCCCTCCTCCATCCTTTCATCCTTTTGGCCTGCTCCCAACTAGGTCTGTCACACACTTAACAGGTGCTCTTGCTTGACAGCTCTTCCATCCTGGGAAGGGCACTTGTTGGAAGCCCAACGAAGAAGAGTGATTCCACAGAGCTGTCTCAGAGGAGCCAGATTACTTACCAGTGAAGTAGGCGTGGATGCCTGATGCTGAGAACCAGAGCTGGAGCGATGACAAACCTAAAGGAGAAAAAGAAATAAAGGACATGAAAACTGTGAGTGAGAGAAGGCTATAGACCACTCCTAACAGTATGCCTTAGTCACAACGTGCATAAGGGACAGTGTGGACTGTATAGCCAAATAGTGGGGCTTAAAACCCCAAGGTTTCCCTGATAGAAAAGGGGAGAGAATTGAATTCAGACACCATTTGTTACAAAAGGACTGTACACCATCAGGCTGGCACTAAGCGGGGTGTAGGGGAGGCAGAGCCCCGAGGCCTAATGATGCTGTGCAAGACATAAGACACCGGAAGACGACATAGATGGATCTTCCTCTCTTAATTAGTTTACACCAAAGATGTGGCAGGAGAGAACATCCAGTGCCTTAAGAGTCCTTGTCACTGGCCAAACTGTCTGCCCGGAAGGCTACTGATAGTGCAGGTCAGCTTGTGAAATCAAAGCATCAAGTTAAGAACAGGCACAGCAAATTACATACACCATACAGCTGAGTGACGTGTTCAATCATTAATAGCAATTATTGAGAGCCATTGGTGTACTCAGCAGTACACAGACATACAGGCTGATGCAGTCCACATCCCAAGGAGCTCATGTTCTCAACCAGGCAGTGCAGCTGAAACACATGATGTGTATATTGAAGGGTAACTTTCAATAATATTTTTTTAATATATGCTCATTGTCTAATATGAGACCGTTTGAGTCTGTAAAAGAGATAGATCCCAGCCAAAGCTCTCGGTCCAATCACCTCAGGTCCTTCCACAACCTCCACTCACTGGGGCCCATCGCCAACTGGTGCTGCCCAGAAAGTGAGCCCAGACCCAGGTCTGAATAAAGTCCATGATGTTTTTAACAACGGAATCCATTTTATTCCTGAATGCTTTGAAATTAGAAACTGCTCCGTCAAGTTGCAAAAGAAACCACCTTCCCACTCCACCCTTCTTCTCAGTAGCAAGCATTGTTGCAACCTACTGGAGCTGAGCAACCTCTGGAACTCAATAGGAAGGAGTGACTAACCCCTTGCAGCACACCTGCTGCAAGCTGGAGGTAAGTCAGGGATGAGGCTCCTCAGACAGGGTAAGTGAATGAGGCTTATTGCAGACCAGTGGGGTGGGGAAGGGGGCATGCAAACTGTCACAGCCTATTTGTATTGTCTAAATATCTTAGGCATTTTCACCACACTCTGAGCACAAACTATTTGCATGCACTTCCTCTGTGTAACTGGATTTAAGTCAGTCATTTAATACAGAACAACCTCTCCCCCCTCATGCACACCTCCTTGATAGTCTTTGTGCATTCAGGGGAATAACTGAGCAAATGTAAAAAGAGAGAACACAAAAGATTTAAAAAAATACTGGCAGAATTCTTGCATAAAAATATGACCTAGCCATGCTGCAGATAGGTGATATCAGACTTGGTAGTGAGGTCCATCATGTTTAGGTGCCTCAGTAACAGACCTTAGTGCTAAGTGCTGTACAAACACAGAGGGAACTTGGAATAACTGTGGTGTGCACATTCACTGTGCTAATCCTCTTCACATCTTAGCCTCTATTTGTGAAATACGGGGTGAAATCTTGGCCGGTCCTATTGAAAGCAATGGCAAAACTCCTAATCACTGTGTTCCTTGATGGCCAAACTCCCATTGACTTCAATGGGGCTATGATCATGGCTCATTTTTCTGAGGTGAAAATCAGTTTCTGATCAAATCAGCACTAAAATAAGACTTTTCCAGAGATATCTGGATGTGAACTGGGAGTATTCCAGGAAGGAGCCAGAGACAGACCAAAGATTCTTCCAAGGGTCTTCAACATGATAACTCAGCCAAACTTAAGCAGAATGGAAGTGCCCTTGCTCCCCAGAGAGTGGGGAAAAAACCATGAAACTCCTATTATAGATGCAGTCACTCATCTGGAACAACTTGAATCATTGATGTTAGAGAACCACATTGATCTGGCTGGGGTAGCGGTGGGAGGGACAGAGCTGTGTATATAAGGGAAGACACTCGCCAGCACAGGTCAGATGTAACACCAACTGCCAAAACCTTCCAAACCCAGAGGAGGTAAGTGTTTTACAAGAGGGAATTGGCTTTGTGTCTAATAGGCACCTTGCTATGCAGCTTTACACGGGAAGATGACAGATGCAGTAAACAGACAGACAGATATTTGCAGCCGTGCTCTTGTATCACGGTATCAAGGCTCTGAAGCCCAAAGTTGCAGCTCCTTGCAAGGCATCTGGGGTGGTCCAGATATATAACTGGTGATGAGACAGGGAACAGATTATTTATTCTGTGTGCCTGGGGCTGATTTCCACTGAGCCTGCTCCTCGCTCCACTGCAGCCAAGACTAGACTTTAGTCATTAGAGCTCTCCGGACCCTAACTACCCTCCGATCAATGAGGAAGGAGCTGGGCTAAACATATTTCAGTGGCAAGTTGACTTATTCAAGATACTTTCTTCCAAAGGATTAATCGGAGAGAGAGGGGGCTGGGCTATTGGAGTCACCCTAGCACACCCATATAGAGCAGGGCGGAGGCCCTGACCCTTTCTCCTGCTTTGTTCCAGGTCCTCTGGTATCACAGAAGGAAAGCAGCCAAAGGAAGAGAACTTGGGGTGACATTAGACTCCTAAGGTGAAATCCTGATTGTGTGGAAGTCACTGGAAGTGTTGCCATTGGCATCAGGAGAGCCAGGATCTCCCACGGGGGGAGGTAGGGTCTGAGTGCCTGCTCATGGCAGGCTGATGAAATACCAATGCAAGGGTATTGGGGAGGGGAGACTCAAGAAAAAACTCTGGGAGGATTAGAGGGGGCTGGGGCACCAGCCTCCTCTTCAAGTTCAGCAATGATGTATTTTTATCTCTCTACTGGCCTGCACGCTGACTCAAATACAGGGAGACATGCAGAGTCCTGATGCCAGGGTATCACGGCATGATAAGAGGACAGTCCCTTCTATCTCTACTGTCCAAGACCAGACTTGACTTGAAACGTGCCTTTCTGCCCTCTCAACTGCTTCCCATGCAGTAGCCCCGCTATACCAGAGATCTTTGTTTGCCTGAATGAAAAATCAGGTTATTTGGGTTTCTTCTCCCAGGTCCTGCACAAAGATGAGGAATCTCCACATATTCGCATTGCTGGGGGCTTGCAGTAAGTATAGAAAACGCCCCAATGACGCCCTTGCCATCGCTACTGCTCTACATCCATTCAGGGCACAATGGATAGCCCCAGCATCACGGCAGCACAAGCAAGGCTTAGTACTAGATAACCTTGGCCACAGCTCAGGGTCTGGGCGCCAGGCAGGGGCATTCATTGATGTCAGCGGGACCTTTATCATAAGAAGGAGGTCCAGCTTGTGAACAACTGGGTCAGATCACTGGAGTGCCTAAATGTTTACCTTGCTCCATGTATGGCTGCACAGGAGCTCTTACAATAGTAGCAGTCCCTGGCTCGGCTCAGATGCCGCCTAAAAGCTGGACCAAGGGTGAGGGGAGGAGCTGGTGTCTTGGCCCTACCTCCTTCTGTGTCAGCCCCTGGGTAAAGCAGAGCCACAGGGTGGGGTGGGAAGGAATCTGCTCCAATTTAGTGGCTGGGATATAGACTGTGCATCGCTGATCAGGGACAGCTCCCATGAAGGAGGTAGGATAACCCCACATGGAGCAGAACAGCTGCCCATCAGCATGCCCTGCCTCAGGGCTGTGGCATACACCATGTGCCACCCTGGGCAAGGAGGTGACAATTCCTAGTGTTGCTCACACAATCCATTGAGCTCACAATGTGAGGAAGGAGAGGAAGAAGGGAAGCTTCCTAGGAACAGAGTCTCTTTCCTAACACTATTGCTGGTTTGCAGGTCTCCTGGAGGTGAATGGGAGCGTTCTGGAATATCAAAAGATGATTAAACAAGTCACTGGCAAAGGTGCTATCCTGAGCTATTACGGCTATGGCTGCTACTGTGGGTCAAAAGGCAAGGGGGAACCAAAGGATGCCACGGATTGGTAAAGAGCAGCTGGGTTTGAATCACTAAAACCACATGCATGCTGTCATTTTCATGGACCTCTGCAAAACGAAATGTCAAAAATCCCCTTACCCCAACCCCCAATAACCAAAACTTTTCACCCAGGGAATCATAAGGAAAAGCTCCTCCATCACTTGTCAAGGTGGAAAGGCTGAGTGTGAAACATTCACAAGTCATAACGAAAGGGAATTATACATGCTTGGGATTCAGGCAGTAGAGAGAAAATGCTGGCTTAAATATCCCTATAAAGTGAAGTAAAGTTTATTGTCCAAGGTCCTTTCCAGGAAATGAAAGTGATAGAAAGTCCCTAGAGAGGTTTAACGGCCTCTGCAAAAAATTCCACTTCTTCTGACTGCTTCCCCATGTGTTTCTGGTTTGACATCCAGAGTTATATTTAAATAGGAGTAAATGCATATATTGAGTGTGAATACCCCATGTACACGCAGGGAATCCAACAACCAATGAAGCAATGGCCTTGTGTTCCTGCTGCAGTGGAAGTGGGTTTCTGCCATTGTCAGCAGATCTGTGATGTGTGTCTCTCTCTCCTTCCTTTTCCCTGGAGGTGTTGTCATATTCACAACTGCTGCTATAAAAGGCTGAAGGAGAGCAACTGTCACGGACACACCAAGCGGTATGATTATGCCTACAAGAATGGGAATATAATCTGCGGTGAGTCCTCTCCCCTTGGAAAAATGGGGAGTTTGCTTTGCTTCTCCTGTCAAATTAGCCCACTGCTTCCCTTCTAAGTGATTTTCACTCTGAGACCTCGACACCTGATTGCCAGAAGTTGCAGCATGACTATTGATCCAAACAGAGAAATGAAGGAAGTAGAGAAAGAAGGGCCAGGGCACCTGAAAGGACTCTAGCTGTCTTGTTTCAAATGCCATTGACCAAAGAAGTGAATTCATAACCTGTAACTTCTAGGGTTGCAATACCCTGACTCCTTGAAAGTCCTAATTCAGATCCTGATGCTATTTACTTTGTCCCTTGGGCAACAATATAGGTAAGATGAGGCGCATGCAGCCAGCTGCATGTGGATTTCCCAGATGTGGCCATTTGGGTGGATGCTCACCAGACTGCTGCAAAGAGATCGAGTCAGTGAATCGCCTCCATGCTTTAAATTTCCCAAATCTGAAAACTGCCTCCAGCTTGGGGTGTGTTGGCACCCTCTCTGTCCCCTCCACTAACACTGACCTTTCAGACTCCTCAGAGCTTAAAGACACCCTCTCCGACATACTCCACAGTGGGAGGGGGAAGATTGGTACAATTACACTCTCTCCCCACGCTGCCATCACACAGCCCAGGTATAAATTCAGGCCTGGGAAGTCAGACACCTTCCCCATCACGGGGCTTCCTCAACGTCAATGCAAAATGCATTTCTCTCTTCGTCTCTGCAGCTTTGGGGAGCTGGTGTGAAGAGCA